TCTCTCTGATTAATGGTGTCGTTTTCTTTTGCCTTTGAACTGGACTGTGCTACTTTGTGGAGTGATTGGATTTTAAGGCTTTTAAAGCTTGTGGACATTAAAAAATTGGATCCTTTTAAGTGACCAAACCACTAAAACACTGGTGTGATGTGAGGACGGGGCTGCCAGTCATCCGCACAGGCTCATTTGTGTATTTTAATTATACAAAGCTAACATTATCGCTAATGCTTCTAACGTGGGGAGAAAAAAAACCCAATTTTCTTTTTTTTTCATGACTAAATATTTAATCTGAGGCTGAATCGTGCGTTTCCTCTGTCAGGTGCACAAGGAAGCAGGACTGCAGCCGCTCGTCGGAGGAGAACACCTGGCTGTGGTCGCCCAACCAGCAGTGCGTCCAGATCCAGGCCTTCGACCCGCCCAACCTCAGCTGCAGGAAGACCCAGCAGGTAGGAGAGCCGGGCCGACGATCCCCCCGAGCCGAGTTCACATCCCGCTGAGCTCTGCTGAATTTAAACCAGCCTCACCTGAAACCTGAACTCCGGCGTTTCTCGTCTCGTGCATGTCAGCAGCATTTCAAACGGGTTCTCAACCCCTGCCACGTGGACCCGCGGGGGCCCTCGGGGGCGCCGCGGGGAAATAAAGATTTTGATGCGCAGCAACGTCATGGTTTACGGTTTGAGGACGAGAGCCAGATGTGTGCTGGAGAAAAACAACCCAGGAAGGGAAAATTCACACACGTGTTTCAGTGAATCGAGTGGAAGCAAGTTTAATTTAGAGAAAGAACAACAGCGTTTGTTGGTGTTTATCTGATTACTGACATGTTCACAATACAGTCATCTGCTTTGGTTTTCTCCTTCTGACTGTGATAATAAGAAACATCCACCCGTTCAGTCTTCTGCTCTGGTCTGGTACATATTTAGTGATTCAGTTAAACTCAGTTAAAATCAGAAGTTTACTGTAAAAAAGGACATAAAACCTTTTTTTATTTTCTCACTTTTTGACATTAAATCAGACGAAACTTTTCCTGTTTCAGGTCAGTCAGGATCACCAACATTATTTCTGTTTGCTAAATGCCAGAATAATGAGAGAGAGAATGTTTTATGACTTCCTTCAAAGTCAGAAGTTTACATCCAGCAAGATGCCTTCAGACTATTTGGGAAAGCCCAGATGATGATGTCATGGCTTTGGAAGCTTCTGATTGGTTAATTGACAACATGTGAGTTAATTGGAGGCACATCTGTGGATGTATTTTAAGGCACACCTCAAACACGCTGCTTCCTTTTGGGACAACGTGGAAGATCTACAGAAACCAGCAGCAGCTAACGCTACCTGGAGCACCGTAGCGTCTTTAAAAAGTCAGATTAACTTTAAAAACCTACTTTAACTAACAGACACGTCTCTCTAACAGAGAAGCAACCTGCAAAAACCGAACTAGAAGCACAAACATCATCAACACAAATCAGCTTCTTTAGTTGCTACGGCTAAGCTAACAGCTAGCAGCTAGCGGCTAATTTAGGAGGAGCTACAGATTACCATGAAACAGAGTCTGGAAAAGAATAATTAATAATGGTTTAAGATTCGGACCTTAGTGGGCGATTAAAGTGAGAGAACAGAGGAAGGTTAGGAAAACTTTTATTGATCTCAACCAACCGATCGATTGATCGGTAAACAGAGGTGAGCAACCACTTTCAACCCTTATTAATGAAGTAGCCTAGCTAGGAATGACCAGTTTCCTGCTACCACATGCTGTTAATATCTAACATTTAATACATATTCGGTGTCTTTCTTGATTTCCGGTTTCATATCAGCCCTGGAAAAAAAAAGTTGATCCCTAGTGATATTTGATATTTTCCATTTTCGGCAGTTTTAGCTTAACTGTCTTTGCGTAGGTGTCGTCATGAAGTCAAGTAACCTCAGTTTAATAATCCTCGAGGGTTTAATTACATAAATCTACACACTTTAAGTCGAGTTTCTTCGGTAACTTCGGCGGCTGTTTTCCCTTCAAAGTGGATGAAAGTTCGTCGATACGAGTTCGTGAAGTTTCGAGCAGCGAACGAAGTCCAACAGCAGCTGAGAAGTTTTGGTGATCAGTTTAGCCGTCGGTCTAGAAAGCAGAATAAAACTCCGATAATCCAATAATATCTAGGAGATAAAAATGATCCCGGCCCACAGCGCTGAAGTCAAACTAATTTATGTAACGCTCTGAAACTCAGAACGCTGCGGCAGCCATTTTCCAGCACCCGGACCTGACGGATCAGCCGTCGGAATTAATGAGGAGCTGATCAAAGAGGCTCTCCGTCCTCCATCGCGTCCGCCGACATCCCCTCAAACCTCACCGCTCTCACGCTTTCTCATCCGCCGGCGGTGCTCAAAACGACGAGCTGTTGCTTTAAGAGAGTTCCTCAGACAGAAGTTTGGATCGGGTCGGCGGGCGGAAGCGTGTCGCGTATGTAGATCTGGTGATTGTCGATTTGAGCAACGCGGTCGTCCTCATCAGACGTGATGAGGAGGCAGCACAACAACATTATGGCTGCGGGATAATGCAATCAGGTCAGGTTAGAATAAACAATATGCAAATGCAGCGAGGTGTTTGTGTTCAAGTGAAACTGTAAAGACGGAAGGAAGGGAAAGTTTTCTGTCTGTCGAGTTTCAGGTTCACCTTCTGAACTCTGAGCTGCAGCTTCTGGGCGGGTTTTGAAAAGTATTTTTTTGTCACTGTTGGATCAGTTTTCACTGCAAAATAAAGTCCTGCACCTCTATGGAAACAGAACAACCATTAACAGAAGAAGAAGGAACTCAGAAATGTAAATTGGAATGGCGCACCTTGTAAAAAAAAAAATAAATGAAAACAAAGGGGAAAAAAATATTTTAATCAAATCCAAAAATTGCAAAATTCCAAATCAACATGTCCAATATTTTTCCAGCTGCCCAGAGGTGTTCCCAGTACTTGAGAAAATAAACGATGACTCCACGAACGATTAATATTTTACTGTTTATAGTCCCTGATGTGTCCGACAACAACTTGCTAATCTGCTGTTTTTGAGTTGTGCTGCGTTTATTCTCTTCACGAGTTATGTTTTTTTCTTTGTTTGTTTGTTTTTTAGGAGGAGTTTTGTGCTCCTAATTCCCCTAATTTGTAAACACTGCCTGCAGTTCAACCAAAAAAAAATTACCCCAATTTTTTTGCGTAACTGTTGGTCTCAGCTGAGTCAGTCCCGGCTTCTCATTACTACAGAATTTTTTGTTTTTTTACGCAATCAGGTGAAAGCAAATGGTTTGTTTATGACAGATTTTTCAATAAGACATGTAGAATACGTCGATTTTAATGAAATAAATAAAGAAATGTTTGTTTTTGTTGTTCTCAGTTCCCCTTAATCGAAAACACTGCCTGCAGTTCAACCGAAAAAATTACCCAATTTTTTTAAACTTAGCTGTTGGTCTCAGCTGAATCAGTCGTGGCTTCTCGTTTGCGCAGATTAACACAGAATTTTTTGTTTTTTACGCAATCAGGTTAAAGCAAATAGTCTATTTTTGACAGACTTTTAAATAAGACACATAAAATAAAGTGATTTTAATGAAATGTCACAATTTCTAGCTTCGGTTCGCTTCAGTTTTCCAAAAGAACAAGATGATTCGTTAAAGACCCTTGAAGAGTTGAAAGTCCAACAATTCTTTCTGTTTTTACAGTTTGTAGATCTAATAAATACTGTCATTTGGCGCTTTTTTGTCTATTTATTTATTTTTTACATTGCTGTTTAAAGCTGCTGGTGAGTTTTGGGGTTAAACAAGAAAAGTCATGTTAAAGAAAAGAATAACGTCAAAGTCACAAGTCTTCAAGTCAAGCAGCATTTAAATGGAACTAATTGTTTAATTAATTATAATAAATCTACACCGTTCACACACAATTATTTTAAGCTTGACTTTACGGTTGGGATGCTTCAACGTAACGTAAAAGTTCTTTGAAACGCAGCAGTTAACGAATAAATGTACGCCTCGTTACCGCTGCCCCCTAGTGGCCAAACAGACGTCGCACGTTTAAGGGAAAACCCAAGTCACGACTCTAAAACAAAGTTCAAGGTTAAAGCCTCCACCTTCTGGATTCACTCCATTTTCCTCCAAAGCAGCCAGTTTGTGTTTTCAGGCCCAACGATTAAATATGAGAGCCAGCGTACACAATCATCGATACCGTTTGTGTTCGTCTGGTTAAATGTGTTTGGGGGGAAAGTAATTGGCGCCTTGATTGAGTTCATTGGAGACATTTGTTCCAATCAAGGACAAGCGACGTCTTCGTACTGCCAACGAGTCGCAGGCGGGATGTGGAAATACCAGGACGTGAGCAGCGAGACGTCGGGTTTTAGGTCATAAATACAACAGTTAAGAGCTTTAGTCCAATTATTTTGATGTTTACAGCTTCCTCCATGAGACCTTTACTCATTATTTATCACTAGTAAGCAAACATGTGATCTACCGTCATCCTTAGTGGGTTCATACTCATCATACATATAAATATATGCAGCATTTATTCAGTGTTTAAAGCCAATAAGGCGCATTTGAAATAACCGATATGAACAGGAGAGAAGAATGAGGCTCTAAAGCATTCAGTAGAAAGATGTTACACCATCAGATATAGAAAGATGTTCCACCATCAGATGTAGAAAGATGTTCCACCATCAGATGTAGAAAGATGTTCCACCATCAGATGTAGAAAGATGTTCCACATTCAGCCGTAGAAAGATGTTCCACCA